ATCCCATCAAATAGACTACATAGAGACTTATCCAAGAAATCATTATCATGATCAAGTGAAATCTATGGTAGGGATGCAAGGATGGTTCAGAATTAGGAAAACAATCAACATGATTAATCATACTAAAAACTAAAGTATCCAAAACCACATGATCATCTCAATAGGTGGAGAAAAAGCCTGGGACAAAGTACAACACTCTTTGATGCTAAAATAATCCTACAAAATATCAGGCATAGAGGGACCTTTAAAAAAAAATATACACACACACACACACACACACACACACACACACATATATATATATCATAAAAGGTATCTATTTAAAACCAAAAGTAAGTCTCTTCAGTTCACACCATCCCACCTGCCTGCTGCCCAGCCGAATGACCTTGTACAGACACGTCCAGAGTCCCAAGCATGTGTCCTTCTTGCCTGTCATGGTCTCCTTGGCCTCCATGGTCTTCAGTGCTCCTGGTGTGGCTTATGGCGCAGCAAAACGTGGCCATGCTCACTCAGCCTGAGATGATCACAAAGTCGATCATTACCATCCTCACGGCTGGTGTCATGGCCATCTGTGGTCTGGTGGTGGCTGTTCTCATTGCCAGCTCTCCACTGGTGGGAATCACGATATCCACGAGCCTTCTTCGGCTGGGGCAGGCCTCAGCGTGGCCTGAGGGGGCGGCAGCCGGCTTTGCTATTGGCACCGTAGGTGAGGCTGGTGTTCTGGGGACAGCAGGGAGCAGGGGGGTGATCCTAATCCTGATCGTTGATGAGGTGTTGGACCTGTAAGGTGTGGGCACAGCCCTCCTCTCCCTTCTTCTCAGATCCCCCTACCAACTCTTATCCCTGCAACTACAGACTTAGATGTAAAGACCCATCTTAAACTACTCCATCTCCCCCCATTTATTCCAGAACTGTGAGCCTGACACTTGCTGCAGCTGTCCAGTTGACAGTAAATGTGCAGTGTCTTAGGAACTCTTCAATCTGCACCAGACTGGATGGCCCTGCACTAGGCCTGGTTGGGACTGAGGTTTCCTAGGGCCAGGCAGCCATGCAAGCTCCTGAAATTCAAGATTGTGGTCATGTCAGTATTAATAGGAATTGTAGGAGGCAGCTAGGTGGCACAGTGGATACAGCACCAGCCCTGGAGTCAGGAAGACCTGAGTTCAAATCCAGCCTCAGACCAAACACTTGACACTTACTAGCTGTGTGACCCTGGGCAAGTCACTTAACCTCAACTGCCTCACCAAAAAAAAAAAAAGAATCATATGACTTGGGAAGATGTAGAACACATGTTTCCAGTGGTGCTGTGGCACTGGACCACAAATCACAGTGATGTTTCCAAAGAAAATTCTGATTCTGATTAGAAAAAAACAAATAACAGCATCATATGCACTAGGGATACACTAGAACCTTCCCCAACAAACACAAGAGTGAAGCGAGGATTCCCACTCCCCCATTATTATTTGATATGGTTCTAGAAATCCTAGCAATAGCAAAAGACAAGAGAAAGAAATTAAAGAAATAAAGCCAAGTAAAGAGGTAATAAAACTTCTCTGCTGATGATATGATGAAAAATCCCAGGGAAACTGCAAAGACACTAACCGAGACAACAGTTTCAGCAAAGTGGCAGGCTACAAAACAAAGCCACAAAAACTCACAGCATTTATAATTAATAACAACAAAACAAGAGAAACAATAATGGAAAGGGAAATTCTAGTCTAAATAATTATAAAAAGCATAAAATGCCTGGGGATCAATCTCTTAAATCACCCAAAAGATTTAGCTAATACATGTAGCTAATACATTTAGCTACAAAATATTCCTTAAAGAAACAAAGGATAGGGGCAGCTAGATAGCACAGTGGATAGAGCACTGGCCCTGGATTCAGGAAAACCTGAGTTCAAATCTGGCCTCAGACACTTGACACTTACTAGCTGTGTGACCCTGGGCAAGTCACTTCAGCCTACTACCTCACAAAAAAAAGAAGAAGAAACAAAGGATAAAATAGCTGGAGGAATATTCTGTGCTCATGACTAGGATGTGTCAATATAATAAAAATGACACTACCAAAATTAATGTATACTTTTAAGGTTATACCAATCAAAGTATTAAGGGGACACTATATAGAACATGATAAAATAATAACGAAATTCATTTGGAAAAATAAAAGATCTAGAATACCAAGGGAAATGATGAAAAGAAGAAGGAATGGATAGGAATATCACTTTCAGATCTCAAACTATATTATAAAGCAGCCGTAATCAAACCATCTAGTATTGGCTAAAGAGCAGAGAGATTGATCATTGGAACAGATTTGACAAGAGGCACTCAAAAACAACAGAACTCAATAACCCAGTGTTTGATAAAGTGGAAAACATAAATTACCTAGGGAAAAACTCCCTATCTGATAAAAACTGTTGGGAAAACTGGAAGGCAATCTGGCAGAAAATGGGCTCAGATCAAAACCTTGTATCACATTCCACAATACATTCTAGATGGACACGTGACCTTAACATTAAAAAAAATAAGAAGAGCAGATCATAGATCTCTCACAGCTATGGGTAGGAGATGTATTCTTAAGGAAACAACAGAAAGAGGCAATTTAGAAAAGATAAAATAAATAACTTTGATTATATGAAACTGAAAAGCTTTTTCACAGACAAGATTAATGCACCTAGGATAAAAAAAATGGTTGAATGAGAAAAAATCTTTAAATTTTTCAAATAAGGGTTTGGTGTCTAAGACACATAAACAATTTAAATAAATAAATAAATATATATATATATATATATAATATATATATATATATATATATATACATATATACACACACACACACACACATACATCTATATGTATAGACATAACCAATAGCCATTCCCCAAAGGACATGAACAAAGAGTTCTCAAAAGAAGAACTACAAAGCATTCACAACCACATGAAAAATGCTCCCAGTCACTAATGATAACACAAATGACAATCAAAACAACCCTGAGATTACACTTACACTCTGCAAACTGGCAAAAAATGATGTAAAAAAGAGCAACAGTTAATGTTGGAAGGGTTGTGGAATGAGAAGCACACTAATACACTGTGGTCTTAAGGCCACAGGATTCCCCACCCCTGGTATAACCATTTTGGAATGCAATTTGGAATTATGCAAATAAGGGGACTAAAATGCCCAGGCCCTTTAAACCACAGACTCATTGCTGGGTTTATACATCAAAAAAGCCAAGAAAAAAGTCCCCATATTCTCCAATATATTTACGGCAACACTTTTTGAAAGCTAAAAACTGGAAACAAAATAGATCCTCCACAATTGTGAAATGGCTAAACAAACTGTGGTAGACAAATGTAACAGAAGACTACACTACAAGAAATAATGTGTGTGATGAACACAGAGAAGCCTGGAAAGATCTCTATGAACTGATGCAGAGGGAAGTCAGCAGAACCAAGGAAACAACGTATATAGTAACAGACAACAACGTAAATGGAAAGAACATGCCAAAAACACCCAGAAGTCAGTGTAACAAAATTACAAAGCTCAAGCAGGACTAAGAATGAAGAGGGATTGAGAAGACAGCCCTAGTCCACTCCTCAGAGAAGGTGGGAGGTCCACAGAGGTCACACACCACACACTTTTTTTTACTGTATCAATCAGTTATGATGTGATTTTTTTCTCTCAAAAAAAAATCTTATTTTGGGCCGGCTCTCTGGAAGGGTGAGGAGTTCATGAGATACTATGGTGACACAAGAAACAGAAAATATCGATTAAAAACTGCAAAATAAAAGTAAGCTTCTTGAGATCGGGGCTTCTATGTGGAGTGCCAGACAACTGGTCCAATTAAAGACCAATTTAAGGAGGCCCAGCCCAAAGATGCCTTCATCCCTCTCTAGGCTGTACTGAACTCATCTCCCTAGGACTTTGCCTTCTCCCCCTTTTCAACTCTACTTTATATTTTGACTTCTTCATTAGACTATAAGCTCTTTGAGGGCAGAACTTCTGTGTAGAGTACCAGCTTCAGCCCAGCACCTGGCATATAGATTTATGGCTTTACAAATGCTTGTGCCTGACTGAAACTGCCACTGCTCCATTCCATGAGCTTCATTGGCTCCCCATGGCCCTAGGGTGAGATGAAGCTCCTCCAGTCTAGATTTAATGCCTTTCACAAGAGGGCCCCAGCTTATCTTGACACCTAAACTGACCTACTTGCTGTGCCAGTACAGGGCATTCTCTCTCTCATGACAAGGCTTTTGCCCATGCACTCCTCCCACACCAGGCACATCGTCCCTCCTCACCTCTGCCTCTTGGAATCCTCAACTCCCTCTAAAGCTCGGCCCCAGTACACCTTTCTACCCGAGGCCCTTCCTGATTCCCCCTCTCCCATCAGGGAGTCTACATACCTTCAAACTTCCCTAGGTAGAGTGTAAGCTCCTCCAGGGCAGGGGCTGGCTAGCCTTTGGTCTTCTCTACCCCCGACTCCCCACCCCAGCCTCCAGCCTAGTGGAATTAGGGTTTGTCGACTGACTGCTGCAGGGCCTCAGTTCTCTGTGGATGGCCTAAAGGAACTGCACGTGGCCCCACCACCAGGGCAACAGGGCAAAGAATGGACAGGGCAGCCCTGGAGGGAGGAGCCAGAAAGGATGGGAGGAGGAAACGTACAAGAAGGATAAGCGAGGGAGCGGTGACGCCTTTGATTGGCTCTCAGTTCTAGCCCCACCCCCTCAGGGACCAATAAGCACATCAACTCAGGGAGAGGGCGTGGCGATCGGCCGGCCTCTTGGCACCTGAGATCCGCATGCGCAGAAGAGACCTGGTTTGGTTCCCAAGATGGGTATGAACAGACACAGTCCGCCCCCAGGCTCCCAGAGATGTAGTGCGCGTGCGCACAAGCAGCCTGGCTAGGGCCCAGCGAGAGGGCAGCTGGCCGAGGAGCATGGCGCCTGAGGCCCCGCTCCCTCCCCGCAGCCCCACCGACCGCCCGCTCCCCAGGCGCTACCTTTCTCAGCAGCGGGGTGTCCGCTGCCGGGCCTCTGTGGCGGCGCTGAACAGGGGCCTGAGCGGATCCCAGACGGACGCTAAGGGCGCCAGGACTAAAGAACCAAGCGAAAGGAAGTCCCGCGTGGGCCGCGCTCCCTCCCGCCGCCCGGGCCGCAAGGGCTTCTGGGAAACCCGGTGCGGAGGCCCGAGGCGGCTTGTGCGCATGCTCCTGGGAGCCTCGGGCCGGCAGCCCCCGAGGTGTCTGCGGGACCATCCGTCCGCATCCAGCCGAGGCCGGGACTATGCGCCGCCCCATGCGCATCTCCAGCTGATCCCTGGGAGTTTTTCCAAGCCACTTGTCTCCTGTGTGTGGAATGCCCCCTCTCCCTGCGCGCCCTTTCACTCTCAGAGTCACAGCTATCCTTCAAGGCTGGGCTCAGGGGCCACCTCCTCCAGGAAGCTTCCCGTGAACCGTCCCCCTTGTTAGTGCGCTCCACCATTAAATGAAGTTCTCTTGTCTCGCCTGTGTTCACCCCAGTAAGATGCCACCAAACCTTAGGCACTACAAATGGTCCCATAAGTATATGAATGTGAAAGAATCACTGAAGGAATGTGGAAAATTCCCTTTACCATGGTAGCCTGCAACCTATGATTGCTGTTCAGTCGTGTCTGTTTGGGATTTTCTTGGCAAAGATACCAGCTCATTTTACAGATGAGAATACTGAGGCAAACAAGGTTAAGTGACTTGCCCAGGGTCACACAGCTAGGAAGTGTCTGAGGCCAGATTTGAACTCAGGAAGATGAATCTTCCTGACTCTAGGCCTGGCATTCTATCCACTGCACCACCCAGCTGCCCTAGATGTAGAAGGGTAGAATTGTGGACAATTCTTCCTGATGCCACTCAGCTCCAACTGAGGAACTCCTAAAAGACTCTTTGAGGGAGAGAAAGGAGAAGCAGGCAGCTAGGGGTCTGAGGACCAGGCTCCAGTTTGTCTAGGAGGCAAACGTGCACCATGTGCAAGCAGCCTCTACAATAGAGGAAGGGGGGGGGGGTCCCGTCTCCAGGGAAGTTGCAGAGAGCCTCATGTTCAGGAGAGAGAAGAGTGAGAAGGAAAGTTTTCTCTCTTGTTAACGTCTCCCGGATGGGCATCTCATGTCCCCGGGAAGGGAACAGAAGATGCTTAAATACACAATGCTGTATGGGATTAACAAGAGGGTCTTCGGGAAGGGTCTGCCTCAAAGGGACCTAGTGATGCCAAGTGTCAGAGAGGAAGAGCACCCAGGAATGGGGGGCAGCTTGTGTAATGAATGGCACAAGGTGAGAGAGAGAAGGTCTAGCAGAATGTCCTGCATGACAAGCCAGCCAGTTTGGCTGGAGGGGGAGAACTCTATCATCAGCCTGGGAAAAGAGGATGGAAGGAGATTGTGGAGGGCTTTCAATTCCAAATATTAACTTAAAGGCAGGGGACCTGATCCCTGCGCTTATGGGACCTCATTTGGGACCCTGGGTGCCTTTCTTCACTTCCCTGGGGGGGGAAGGGGGAAAGGCAGGCTCAGGATCAGAAGACCGTCCCATTCATGGGATTCTTTTCAAAAGTTTTAATTATGAACTCTTATCACATCTTTTGTTCTTTACATACTTTCAATTTATAGATGTAGTAGAGACTGAATTGGCCTTTAGGGATCATTCCAGGGAGTGCATACCATTGCTCCCCCAGAAAATTCTAGGGAATCCAAGAATATGGTGGTTCATCGTTGGGCCTTTGGGGTGCAACACATTTCCTGGCTACTTCTTGACATGTGACAAGTAGTACACTCTGTCTAGGGACCCTCCTGAAGGGACGTGCAGGGTTGCTCTTGCTTTTTCCTAACCCTGTCACCACTCTCTACTGAGGTGAGTGGATTCAACTTGTCCAGATTATAGTTGTGCTCAAGCTTTTTTTTCCACTCGGTCCTTCCTTTCCCAGGTCATTCTCATGGTGGATTTATCCAGGCGTGGAGCCGATCTTGTGAGTTTGAAAGGCCGTTTGGTCCTGGGTCCATTGAAAAGAATGGTAATTTGTGACAGGTCCAGGAGACGATGACTATGGAATCACTGTAGTGCAAAGTTCAGAGAAGGCTTAGGTTTGGAATGGAAGGATAATAGATCAGACAGACCTGAAAAATGTAAAATGCCTACAGCAATTCCCCAAGCTGCTTTATATTCTGTTGAGATTTAAGTATCAACCTCCCATCAGGCTCTAACAGTGATTATAAATTAAACTAGATGAATCCTGTTTTGTGTTTGTTTTTGCCAAATGCATGCTTGTGAGTGCCCTGGAATTAGCATTCCTTTTACAAGTAGGAGTGAAATAACTGTCCAAGGTAGGATTCATGTTATACACCGAGTACCTTTTTTACTTCCCTCTTTTTGGGGAAACTCTAGAGTTGTCCCCAGAGAGGCTGAGATGGGGGACTTAGGGAGCCAAAGAGCTTGAGAAAGAAGGGTCCCTTCTCAGAGGCAGGGTCTTCCAGGATTAAAGTTGGTCCAAACCCTATGCCTAGGTACAGGACAGGAAAAGTTGAGGCTCCCCACTCACGCGTAGATCCAGCAGTAGCTTCCCAACCTTTGCCCAGTATACTCCTTTTCTCTCCCCTCCTCTCAGAGAGTTTTCACTTGTAACAAAGAATAAAAAATGAAGTACGTGTGAGCATCAATAAATATTTATTAAGAACTTTGTGCAGTGTACTAGACATTCAAGACAAAAGATGAAATGGTCAGTGTTTTCATGCTAACATCCTACTGTGTGGGAGAGGGTAGATGTAGACACATATGGAAACACGTATTATATAAAAATAGAGTGAGAATACTTAAGTTGGGGGGAGGAAGAAGGAGAGGGGGAGAGGGGGAGAGGGAGAGAGTGTCATATGACTAGGAATAGCAGGCAAGACAGCATTTAGGAGGTAGACAGGGCAAGAGCATTTATATAATGACACAGATAACACACATAAAAATATATGAGGAGAGAGAGAGAGAGAGAGAGAGAGAGAGAGAGAGAGAGAGAGAGAGAGAGAGAGAGAGAAAGAGAGAGAGAGAGAGAGAGAGAGGGAGAGAGAGGGAGTACCTACTATGTGCCAGGCACTATGCTAAGTACTTTATAAATATCTCATTGATCCTCACCTTTATAGTTGAGGAAATTGAGGCAAAGACTTGCCTGGGATCATTCAGAGTCTGAGGATGGATTTGAACTCAGTTCTTTCTGACTCCAGGACCAATGCTCTATCCACTGTACCCCTTGGCCATGCTTTGAAGGAAGCCTTTAGAGGGCAGCTAGATGGTGCAGTGTATAGAGCACCAGGCCTGGAGTCCAAATCTGACTGAATTCAAATCCAGCCTTAGACAATTACTAGCTGTGTGACCCTGGGCAAGTCACTTCACCCTGTTTGCCTCAGTTTCCTCATCTGTAAAATGAGCTGGAGAAGGAAATGGCAAACCACTCCAGTATCTTTGCCAAGAAAACCCCAAATGGAAATCATGAAGAATCACATATGCCTGAAACAACTGAACAACAAAAACATATATATTAAATACTGATATTGTTTCATTATTTATGGAGTCATTGAACACAATACAGTTTATCTCTTTTTACCTTGTTTTTACTGTTACCTTGTATGAAAATATGTGTTGTTTTACTTCATCTGAAGCAGAATAAAGATATCCCAAAATTCAACATGTTTCTAAGCTTAATAATTTCAAAAGCACAAATTCTACAAATGTGCAAAAATAGCATTTGAAGATTTAATTATAGAAATTTCTTTTACACTTATTTAATTTTGTTAATTTTGAATTTAAATTCTGAATTTTAAAAATGTGGGGCACCCTGTCATCATGTGTTGAATGTAGTTTCTGGAGGACCAGTGGATTTCAGACCAGTGGATCAGTAGAGGAGGTCCTCTTGCTTGTGTGGCCATAACGATCTCTTGATCTATATTCACTAGACATTTTTGTGGGGTTACATAAAAACTGTCATTTAAGCATCAAAACTTTGTTCTTTGAGTGACCTTAAGGCTAATATTATAAATAAAATACTTTCAGTCACTGAGCAGCAGTGGTTGAAAAGTTTTTACAAAGTTTGAAAATTGACCAGAGAGATGTATAGCAGTGGTATCAAACTCAAATAGAAACAGATCTCTGCAAGTCACAAATTGGCTCTGTCAGAGAGCCCTTGAAGCTGCCGGTGGTGCTGAGCCCTGGGAGCTGTCCCCAGTCCTGAAATAAGACTGCTGCGGATTTCGAGCAGGCTAGTGTATGCAGGAGAGCCTGGGTCTTCTCTAGACTATTCCCGTAGGACAAGTAGGACAGTAGTAATATCCTTCTTATGCTGGAGGGGAGGAATCAAAGCCACTGGTGATTTTAGAGCAGGAGTAAATGGGCATACTTAAGCATTTGTTCTATAAGGGTCCAGTCCCTTTGCTGACCATGGGTGGTCCCTGTACTTTCATAGGGTTTTTGAGCCTGGAAGGGACCTTGGAGACCATCTAGCTCAACCTCTTCATTTTGCAAATGAAGCTCAGAGAGATCACAGGATTTAGAGCTAGGAAGGAACTTAGAGATAAGATTTGCCCAGGATCTCACAGAAAGTGAGTAACAGTCAGGATTTGAACTCAGGTCTACTGAATCAAATTGCAGGGCCATTCCTACACCATCAGATCCTCTGGTGCAGAGGGCAACATAACTGTGTCCCTGATGGTGTGATCCTTGGTAAATCATTTGTCCTGTCAGTGATTCAGCCAATTCTTGAAGACCCTAAATGGAAGAACAGTTGCTAATCTGCACTGATAAAGGGCATTTCCTCACTGGGAGCTCACTACACTGATGAAATCACAGATCTAGAAATAAACCTCAAACTCCTAAGACATTTTAAAAGTGCTTTTTGGTTGCAAGACACCTTATTCGTATGAGTGCTAGAGTTGGAGTCAGGAGAGACCTGAGTTCGATTCCTACCTCTCACCTTTATTAGATGTACGACTATGTTCCCATTGTTACTTCACTCTCTGAGGCTCAGCTTCCTCATCGGTAAAATGGGAATAGCACCTACTTCAGAGTTGTTGTTAGGAAGGAGTGAAATAATATGCCAATTACTTTCAAACCTTTAATCTCTCTGCAAATGTTAGCTATTATCATTAACTTTTATTTTCTTGTCATAAGGGCAAGCATTGTTACCCATATTTTACATATGAGGAAACTGAGGCTCAATAAAAAATGAAGTGACTTAGCCCAGGTAGCACAGGCAGTCAGCTAGCAGAAGAGTCAGCACTGGAGCCTGGGGCTCCTGACATGAAGCCTCAGGCTCTTTTCCCTCCTCTGGGATGGCCTCCTCACTGCTATTGAGTGGGTGCATCGCGTTGGCCACACCCTGAAAACACTTTACATCAGGGCGATTTCTATAAACAAGGGCAGAGGAAGTCACCCTCAGAAGAGGAGGAAACAGGAGGGAAATTATCCTTT